GGGGAGTGGTGTGGGGGGGGGGGGTGGGGGGGGGGGGGGGGGCGGGGGGTCTTAAAAAGAGTTCATGGATTTCTGTAAAAAGGAAAAATTATACAAATGAAAACTAAAATTTGAGTACTTAAAAGATTGAATCCAGAATGTTTACAACCACAAAGCGATGGTTTGACCACTAAGCTATACTCACTTTCATGTCAATAGCCTTTAGTTCTAATAATTAATAATATATGCCCCTGTTTGGTACTCATTTTTGGAGCCAAAAATGCATTTTTTCCGTCACATCAGCACACAATTTTTGACTTCTACACTCTAATGGGGGACCCACGATATGATGTTGAAAATACATTTTCATCTAAAAAATGTGCACTCTCTCTCTCTCTCTATATATATATATATATATAATGATCTCCTAAACACCAGTGCTTAGTTTATATTAAGTACCCATGACATGATACACTATTTAATTGGTGAATCATTAAATATATGGGACCTACCATTAATTTATTCACCAATTAAATTGCATGCCATGTCACCGATACTTAACATAAGTTACGCACCGGTGCTTAGGCGATTATTTCCGATATATATATATAATGTTGCGGGACCAGTTGCACCACTCCACGCTCCACACCTTGAATATAGGACAATAATGGATGATTGAAGCATGATTCACTAAGCTTATAGAAAGTAAAAGTTGTTTACAAACATTGCTTGGATAACTTACTTATTTTATGTAAAAAAAAAGTTACTTATTTGAGAGTAATTCTTACCTTACTGTCAAAATAATTATCTTATGAAATATTTGCTTAATTTTTTAAGTTACTTCTTTTTTACTTTTTCAGGCAGTAAGCTCTGCCCAAATAAGCCAAGTAAAATGCTGCTTAAAAGCTTAGGCAAACATACCGTTATGTTCCAATTAGGCCAAAAAATAAAATAACTCATTTCGAAGCTTACACATTTAAGCCCCGTTTGGCCCCATTTTGTGGAAATGAAAATTGGTGGAATAGTGTGTTTTTGAAAAATGAGTGGTTGAAAAAGAAGGAAAAGTTTTTGATTTATGTGTAATATTATTTTTTGGAAGATTGTGGTTGAAAATAGAAGAGAGAAAAATGAAATTTAATGGAATGGAAATTAATGTGTGCAAACGAGAGCTTACATTTTAAGTGAACTTTTTTAACTTAGCCAAACATGCTCTTAGTTCAAGCCTAGATTCGCAATGAAAGCTTAAAAGAATTGGACCCATTCTTGGCTCATTAAACTAAACAATAAAGATGTGAGAAGAAAGATCAAGAAACTCTCACAAACCTGTGTTTCTTTCACCGTGTATCTTTCTAGCAAAGTCTTCTTTTCTTCTGGAGTAAGTAGCTGGTGCTCAGGAACAAGAACATGCTCTTTTATGTTCACCAACAACTCTGCCTCCTGTATTATTACAGTAAGTTGTTTGTGACATTCACTCCAAAATTCAATGTGTTTACACAATGATAAACGAGTAGTTTAAAAACAATAACCTAACAGCAAGTTCACGCATAACTAAAGCAATTGATAGCAGGACTATGAGGATTATCAGTTTGACAGTTGACACCTCCCAACTCATTGGATTCTTTAAACCTATACAAGGAAGGGGAAATTGCAGCTTCGGTCCCCAAACTCCTATAGTGATTGTAGCATCTTAGTCCTCAATCTATCTATTTCGACGAGTCATTAGTCACAAGGTCGGTCTATTTGACTATTAAAAGGTCAAAATTTCTGTGGAAAAGACAATGATACACTTACTTTTAGTTTAAAAGATGAAAAAAAAAAATACTTCTTTCTTCAATTAATTGTATTCTCTCTCTTTTCTTCCCTTTTATTGAGTGATGAATCTATCTGCTCCATCCCTTGTGCTTATTTTACAACATATAAATTGCTTTTCTATCCATGTAAAATGCAGTACTAGATTCTATTTAGCAGATAGGATTGACTGCCCTTTTTGTCCCTTAACTAAAAGTAAGGATATAGTGGTCTTTTCTACTGAAAATTAAAATCTTTAACAGTGGACGGAATATGTCCATTTGAACTAGGGTCACACAGAAATACTTGAGGACAGTCCTGTCCAAAAAATTAGGCGAACGACTTTGTCTTCTACAAACCTAATATGTATATTAACTATAAGAAAATTTGTACATTTTATCTCTTATCTCAAAAATAAAAAATAAATAGAATCTTTGCATACTGATAGTAATAGAAAATCTGAAACCTGCAGTAGTGTGAAGAAAGTATCAATAATAACCTGGAAAACCTCCAAGTGAAATTTTGTCGATATTTCACTTATACAGGTCCGAGCAAAAGGAGTTAAATTCTGCTGGACAACTAAGATTGCTCGATGAACATCATCATCTTTCATGCGATTGGTGTAAGTCTTCATTGTCTTAACACCAACTTTTGCCTCCTCAGGAAAGAACACATATATCTGGTGACAAAACAGAAAAGCAAAGGCAAATTAGTAAATAGGTTGCACAAATCATCTTCTATCACAATTTTGAAAATACCGAAGAGAAACAACATGAAATCACAAAACTGATTACTCTCAATTTGATTCACATAAATAACAGTCCTACTAATACACCAATCTCCATCATGTAGATATAAGCAATCAAAGAAGTTCAAGAAAAAACAGTATCTAAGAAAGCCAGCGATGTAGAACATAACACAGAATAGAAAGAAATACCAGAAATGGGAGAAGATATAGAAGAATTTGGAGCTTCAATGTAATTCAAGTCTGTTTACAAATGTAATTCTAAAGTCCCACTTGTAGGGAAAAGAAGTTACAATCAATTGAACTTTTAATAAACTAAACTTTATGAGAATATTAAAAATAATATAATAAAAACAAAAACAAAATGATTCAAACTCTACTTTATAATCCTATCTAAAATCCTATATTTATTCTTATCTTCAATCCTCATCAGCCACCCAACATATCAAAAACACAAAACCCTTCTCACCAAAAAAGACAACAGCATTTGTGATATAAAGGAGGTGTATTCAATTTGGATTTTTTAAGACTTTTAGAGACTCTTTAAGTGACTTTTGTATAGTTCAATGAACTTCTATTGACATTTATAGACTTTTTACAAAATCAATGTAAGTCTTCATAGACTTTTATTTTAAGATTTTATAGAACTCATTTGACTTTTACAAACTTTATGAGATATTGTATTTGTACTTTTAGCTTAAAAGCTAATACTTGAAAGATTTAGTAGAAGTTAAATAAATCAATTCACATTTTCAATAACCAGAGACTTTTAAGGACTTCTAAACAATCTATAAGACTCGTTATTGAATATCCCAAGCCTTTCAAGAGAATACACCTAGACTTCTAATCTCTAAGAGTCTTTAAAAGTTTAGATTGAACAGACCCAAGAAATGACATCCACCCATTTTATGGAGAAATTAACATTGGTAATGCACACTTCTTTATTCTTTCTGTGGCATATTAAATACGACAATTCCTTTTACTGAAGAAAGTGGAAGATGGTAGGGATGCACCTGTTTTCCTATAAACAAATGTTAAGATAATGTTTATGGAATTATCCAGTCCTTACTCTCTCTGAAAGTGATTTTGAAATTGTTGGTCCTTCCATTACTTTCTTCCTGTGAAGTTTACAACTAGTGGAGAAAGATTCTGAGTATGCTCGATTGTGTCATACAACCAAACTCTACATTTTCAAAATTAAGAACCTAAAGACTACCAACAAATAAGTGCACAATTCCTAGCCCCCGTTTATTTCCCATTCTTTCCCCATTAAAATGAAAAATATGACCGTCATCCATCACATCAAATCACCATATTTGAATTTTTATTTCTTGTTTGGGGTCCGTAACGGTTATATTTTTCATTTTCATTTTCACATAAATGGGAAACAAACGGGGTCCTAATAGGTGTACCATAAACCCTCACAAAGAAGAGACAACAGCCACAAGTTCAAAGTCTTATTATCCTCTCCTGCTTGTGTTATCTTCTTCAGATATGTGTATCTTTTCATTGAAATATCACACAGGGTACTCTCTCTCCATTTTACATGACAAGAACACCACATGACTAGGCAAAATCCAATTGCCTAGTTTCAAATACAAAATCCCCTCCTATAATGTATTTTATTTTATTTTTATCTAGTTACAACTCATTTAAGTTCCACTGTAGTCCATTCACAAACGGGTACAAGAGGCTTGGGGAATCATACAGATTAAAAAAACAAAGATCACCTATCAGAGAAATCCACTCAAAATTTTATCCACTTATATAATTTCATTTGTAATCCATAATACAACAATATCCAACTAGATGGAAGGCAGCAACAGCATGTCCACGGGTCCATTAGTGTTCAGATTTTTAATGCATTAAAGAATGCTTACTGACAGTACACCAAATCATACTCATAATAATATGTTCATTTATGCAACTTAGAACTTAATATCGAGTTCAAGATAACAACTTTTTGACAAACTAAATTCCTGGTGAAAAAGAAATAAAAATATCACATAAAAGTAGACCTTTTCAGAGGGATTGCTGCGCAAGTCTTTGATAATAACAAGGTCCTCTCTCTTCGTGTTCTCCCCGTACTTGCTAAGGAACTGATGCTTGGACATATCGATCTCAAAATCACTTACTATGTAACCCCTATCCCTCAGCATCTGCATCACCGTCTTCCTGATTCTGAAGAGCCGTGTGATTTCCTCATCCGACAAAACCATCTTCCCACTGCCATAAAATAAAAATAAAAAAAATACAGGGTCATAATTATATAAATTTTCGTCGATTGCAATTAATAATTTGCATAGCAATTCAACATCTTTGCACTGCCAATTCGCAAAATTAGCAAAATACCCAACGAAATATTATATTCAAAAATACCCTTCTGGGGTTACTGGGTCATAAAAGATTATGCAAATTTATACACATTACCTAATTCTTTCTGCGAGCCTATAGATTCCCCAAGTAGGCGAATGCTGAGCAGGCGGAAGAAAGAGATTGTTTCTTCTGTCTAGGGTTTTGGCAAAACATCGGAGACCAAACTGGAATATATTCTGGATCAAGTATATAAAAAAATGCATAGAGTGCTCGTTAGTTTGTTATTTATTATTGAAGGCCATACTTTGTCCAATTTATATTTGGGAAATTATCAAAAATGTCACTTTTTTTTAAAAGAATGTACAAAAAAATTTCATGTGCATCTAATTTTATAAAAAAATGTCACTCTTTTGTGGGAAATGTCCAAGTTACGCTTCATGTCCCCTTTCTAAGAGCATTTAATGCTAACTTTCCAATCCAATTAATGTTATGATTTGATTAGTTCGATTTATATATTATAATCATGGATATATTAAATGTGTACATTATAATCATTGGATATATGTATATTCTATTGTATAACATGAATTTACTTAAAAAGAAAAGATAAAAGAAGAAAAAAAACCATATTTCAACATCAAAGAAATATCTTCTTCAACAAACCCTTATTTCATTGATCTTCTTCATTCCTTGATCAAGAAGACATTACTATTTGATTCATTATCCATTTTGAGAGGTTACTTATTACGAATTCTTTATATTTTCATTGAATAGCTTACTATTTTTTAAAAGTTAAAAATAACATGATCATCAAAGTAAAGAATGCTTTTGAAACTCTTATTAATCATGATGATCTTGATTTTTGAAATATTTTTTAAGGGAAAAGATATCAAAAAGAAATCCCAAAAAGATTTAGATAAATATTAAGTAATACATTCCATATGTAATGAAGCATTCAGTCATTTATTTTTTGAAACTAGTATCAATGATGTAGTTGTTGTAGTTAAGAATTGATTATAACCATTAATGTTTCCAACAAGGTACCAAACACGTTTGAATCTTCTCGACAGTTGAACTCTCAAACTCGACATTTGGAAACTGTCGAGTTAGACATTTGAATTGTCGAAATCAATAGTTGAAAACTATTGACACCCTCAATTTCACCTTATGCTATTGCATGGGTTTAAATATTCGAAAGTGACACTTCTATGCTATTACATATGGACATATTGATTGTGTAGGATTCTTATCGTTATAATCCCAATATTTCAGGTATGGACAATCATTTAAGATTTATCGTGTCGTACGGGAAAAAGTTTATTCACGTGGATGACGAATGGAAGTGGACAGGGGATAAAATCACTTCCATTTTAGTGCCGAGAAGTATTACCCTATCCGGACTTCTGTTACGGTTGAATGACAAACTTGGTGTTATTGATCCGCGGACCGAAATTGAATTGAAGTTCAAAGTCCCGAACATGAATATACTGCCGGTCGAAATATGTGAAGACGAAGACCTAATTTGGTACATATCTGTTCATAAGAAAATTGCTCTTTGCGTTACTATTTTGGAAACTAATCTGCCAAGTGTTGACATGGGGAGGGATACAAATTTGTATGATCGTTCGTTTGGAGCAGTGGATGTCCCCAGAACGTACAACACAATGACATCCATCATGAGCCTTGTGTCCCAAACAATAATGCAGCCGATACTCCAATATTCCATGTTGGGGCTGCACCATTAGATGAGATGTTGGAGGACCCGTTACATGGTACAGATGCGAATAATATTGTAGATGTTGACGAGGGAATGTCATCACATTGTAGGAGTTCATATACATATCAATGGATTACAAGTGTGAATACATCCGATTTTGTTGAACGACAACTATTGTTCAGCAAGGAGTTGTACTCGAAAAGGCGGGTACTTGCTTTGCAAAATAAGTTCCAATTTAAGGTCTGCAGGTCAAGCCTCAAAATGTTAATCATTGTATGCGCGGACGATAATTGTAAGTGGATGTTACGTGCTTCGAGTGTGAAGCAGTCAGCAATATTCATGGTCCGTGTATTCAACAATGCATGTTCTGTAGATTTTCGTCATAACGCATATCAACATGCCACTACTTTTGTAATTGCCGAGCATATTTTGGAAAAATTGGATAATCCATACCGATCGTATGATCCTACCGCTTTTGCACGTGACACAAAACGCGAGTTTGGTGTCAAAATAAGTTACCAAAAAGCACATAGAGGGAAGGTGGCTGCTTTGCATATGCTAGATGGTACACCCTGGGACAGTTTTTAAAAACTATTGTTATATTGTCACGTCGTAGGAGAGAATAACCCGGGAACATTAACTCACATCGAAGTTGATGCCCGTAACAGGTTTCATTATTTCTTCCTAACTTTTGGTGCAAATATTCGTGGTTACATGCACTATTTAAGGCCTGTTATTTGTGTCGATGGTAGTCACTTGAAAAGTCCATACAAAGGTACACTTCTGCTGGCAACCTGCCAAAATGCCAACAAATAGATTTATCCCTTAGCATGAGGGATCGTCGACTCCGAAAAAAATAGACCGTGGACATGGTTTTTGTCGAACTTGAAAGAGTTTATAGGCGACTCAGATGAACTGGTTTTCGTTTCCGACCGAAAAAATAGTATTTCTAATGCCATTGCTCACTTATTTCTTCTGTCTCACCATGGGTACTGTATCTTGCATTTGGAGAAGAACCTAATCCAGCGGTACAACAATGCAATTATAATATTCCTATTCAAACAAGCTGTAAAAACTTCTCGGCTGAAAGAGTTTGAAAGACTTACGGAACAGATCCACAGGGTAAGTGAAAGAGCTTACGGGTACTTGGAGCGAGCATGTTTTTCATTTTGGTCACGAGCACTATTTCTTGGCCAACGGTACAATTTTTGACAAACAACAATGCAAAATCTTTGAACTCAATGTTGAGACACGTCCGTTCATTGCCAATCACGTGTTTAGTCGAGCACATTCGACAGACTATGCAGAAGTGATTTCACGAATGTTGAACCAATGCAACCACATGTACTGTCGTATTGTCATCGAGGATGGAGAACGAGTTACGGACAATGTTCGAAGCAGGTACAAGGCTTCGAGCTCATGGGTTGACAGACAACTTAACATAGGTCGAAATATCTAATGACACGGACATCGTAGACTTCTCCGATAACACGTGCACTTGTCGTGAATTTCAACTTAATCGTATGCCATGCATTTATGCAACTTGTGTTGCTTGCTTGCGAGGTAAGTCGTTGTACGATTTATGCTCACCATATTACACATCTGAATACTGGAGGGGTGCCTACAGTGAAGCAATCTATCTTGTTATGCGTGAAGTGGACGGGATTGTCCCGTACGAAATTATAGGTACACCTATTCTGTCGTCCAGTGTACGTCGTCCTCCAAGTAGACCACCAACACGACGTCATCGATCCAGACACGAGTCCACCACACGATTGAGGAAATGCACTCGCTGTGGTAGAGTTTGTGATAATCGAACCACATGTTCGAACCCCATTGTAACACGGGCCCATTTAAATAGGCTTTTTTCAGTTCAGTTTTTTTATTTTGTAATTTCAGTTCAGTGGTTGAAGTTATATGTTAACTTTCCCCCGATGTCGTTTGTACTAAATGAATATATATCTTATAATTTTGTTATTATTCTCGTTTGCAGATATTAGTACATACATGATCGCAACTAAAGCATGAATTCTGAAGTTGAATTCCCTGCATAACGTGCCGACAGTTTAACGATCAATCTCGATAGATGGTTACAAACTATATAATCTGACTTATCAGAAACTACGATGCATGCATGAGTACACTGTTCCCCAGCATCCACCGTTATTTTCAACTTGAAGTTAGGAGAACATTCCATTATCGTTTCAAGACCGGAGACGACATGTTTAACTTCACAACAACCAGTGTTTGGTCTACGCATTGGCTGCTTTGGCCACTTCAACAAATTCATTGGGGAATGCAAATACAGAACAACACAAAAATTACTGAGCGAAAAAAAATGTGTTTGAAAGACGATTTAGGGCTGAAAAATCTAATAAGCATGAAGCAAATAAACCCGACCAACCAAATTAGTCCATAAAATCCATTGTTCTTGTCGAATAATTACATTTGCATTACACATGGCAGCCTTACAGGATAACACATGTTTCATTAAAGGCGCAAAATACAGACACTTAAAGACACAAAGCTAACGCATTACATCTCGACAGTTCATCTGTCGTTTCCAACAAAATATTTGTCGTTCCCGACAAACTGTTTCTGTCATTGTCGGAAGTTGGTTCAATACCAAAATATTAACAAAACATAACACACATAAGGGAGGTGATCATGCAGAACATTGCGTAACTAGTTTACCAGATCCATCCCTGATAAAAAATAAACTACACATATTCACATTCACACATACACTGCATACGGAAGTCCGGCCATTTCATTCATTATTGACACTCGAATCATCGTCGTCCGAATCATCCGAGCTGATGACAATGATCTCAGGAGACGAAACGCGAGCCAATCACTCGTTATTGTCTGACCGAACTTCCTCTGAAACCATGAATGGGATAACCCGATCAAGCACGTTTTTCGAAGATTGGGAAGCTTCACTTGCAACATCATCAAGGTTTGGAAAGGGAACAACGGGTATGGCTCTCCTACCATTTCCATAACTCACTTCGTCATCGTTCGAAGAAATGACGATGGGACATAATGGAGATGAACCGGGTGTGGGCAGTGGCTCTTCGACGTTCAATGGTATTGCTCCCCGTCGACGGTGCCATAGTCTTGATATGAGAATATGGACTGAAACTGTGTAGCTGCGTGAGTAGTATTATGTCTCACAAAGATTTTGAGATATGCAAGTCTCAAATCTAACTGTTGCTGTGGACGTCCCATGCTATATATACTTGAGATATTGGAGGGAAGCATTTAACAACATTTAGTACCCAACCACCAAGTCCAATCTATCTTGAAATGTGAAAGACAATTGGTGTGATGGATGAAGGTATAAATGTACTTTACTCCCTAGGATTTGTCCTTAAATGGGGAAAATTGTGAAGATTAGTACCTATGTCTAGCATCACAATTTAATTTTCCTGAGAGAAGTTGTTGGCATTAACTTTATGCTTTTAAATTCCTTTTCAATTATACCCATGTTTAACATCATAATTCTTTGTTCTAGCTTGTATTTACCATTCACTTTACATTGTATA